AATACAGTCCTCATCATTGCGGACTGTCGGATCGCAATCAGCGGTTCTCTCCTGCGGCCTTCCCACCAGTGGCTGATTCCTTCCTACATCGATCATTGCTCGATCACCATTCATGCCGCGCTGAACTCGCCTCCCCCGACGCCGCCCCCGACAAATTGCTGTGTTACAAACTATAAACCATGAGCCATTGTGACGTAGTCATTCGAGGGGTATCTCATCTGGTGTGTTTCAGTGCACAGCAACATTTTTAGCAGCCTGCACACGAACGAAGGCACCGTGAAAGGAGCAAAGCCTCTTCCGTGGTCACCTCCGCTGTACACGCCATTTCGGTGATGGCAAGGGCGTGGCTGCGTACTTCATTTGAAGGTGATTGCGGAAGCGCTTCTGGTGGAATATTGCCGTTTCGGAACAACTGTGACTATATATGTCTTAGCCCAGTACAGTACAAGATGACAGTTGTCTCAATTTGAAAACCTCTCGTATGTATCAAGAATAAATCCTATGCCTTGTTGAAATGAACTCCACCAGCCCCGCCTCCGGGATTAGCAGAGCATATATGTAGTGTATTTGGAAGGCGTGTACAGATGAACAGTGCAGGTGGTTACGTGAAATGAGCCCCCTCCAAATTTTGACCCGCGCGACTATGCTGAGAATTTAGTACTAACCTCCCGCGAAGTGACGATCCCTCGGCAAAAGTGATACATCCATGCATGAACTGAAGAAAAGGCCTCAATGACATCACCGAGGGACTCCAACCAGCTGGGAGTCGAATCTGCTTCTTCCTTCACCATAGTCAATCAGCCCTAGTGGTCCGCTGTTGCCTTGTTCGCTGCGCACTCTGAGATTGCGCAAGGAAGACAGCAAGGAAGCTGGGATTGGTGCAGCGCCAGCCTGTTTTTCACTAATTACGGTCGCCTACGAGCTTCCACAGTTGGTGGAGAATGTGAAACCCCGCCCCTCCCTGACAAGCCCCAGTATTCGCAACCTACTAGACTGTACATACGCAAAGCGCCACCATATCTCTGGAGCTCAGACAACCAGTAACGTCCACCCGTCTCCAAGGATTGGAGACGCACTTGGTTTTCTTCTATAGTC